AGTCCCAGGGTCACAACAAGTTGGAGAGAGACTGGACAAATGGGACTACCTTAAAATAAAAGGCTTCTGCACAGCTAAATCTATCGCAACCAAGCTAGAAAGACAACCAACTAATTGGGAAAAAATATTTACCAGCAATATATCAGACAAGGGGTTAACATCCTGTATATACAGGGAACTCAAGAAACTAATCCCTCCCAAACCTAACAAACCAGTTACTAAATGGGCAAGGGAACTAAAGAGGGACTTCTCAAATGAAGAAATAAAAATGGCAAAGAAACACATGAGGAAATGTTCATCATCTCTGGTGGTGAAGGAAATGCAAATAAAGACAACCCTGAGATACCACCTTACCCCAGTCAGAATGTCCCACATCCACAAATCAGCCAACGACAAATGCTGGAGGGGATGTGGAGAAAGAGGAACCCTATTACACTGCTGGTGGGAATGTACACTTATACAACCACTTTGGAAAGCAGTCTGGAGGGTCCTTAGAAAGCTAAAGATTGACCTCCCTTACGACCCAGTCATACCACTTCTAGGCATCTACCCTGAACAACAGGAACCAATATACAAGGACACGTGCACCTCCATGTTTATTGCAGCACTGTTCACAATAGCTAGGATATGGAAACAACCCAGATGCCCCACCACAGATGAATGGATCCAAAAATTGTGGTATCTATACACAATGGAATATTATGCAGCCATTAGAAATGACAAAATAATGGCATTTGCAGGGAAATGGATGGAGCTAGAAGGAATCATGTTGAGCGAGGTAAGCCAAGAGCGAAGAGACAAACGGTACATGGTCTCCCTGATAAGTGGATGCTAAATCCAAAATGTTAGGTGATACGACAAAAGTAACAGGACTTAAGAAACAAAGAACTCCCACTCATCTGGTCGAACCACTACTAAATATCCCCATGCTGCTGATCACATGTATGGTGTATAACATGTGAACACCGTTATATGTTACAGACTGTGATAGACAATTTGCTCCAGGAAAGTTAGAATGAACCACAATACTGTGAAATTCCAGAAATTATGTAATCACTTAATCACAATCAAAAAAAAAAAAAAGAACCTCGGGGAAGGTAGGGAGGGAGGGGATGGTAGGGAGAAAACAATGGAGGCAGTAACAATGTTCAAGAGGAAGTGTACTCATTACCTCACTCATGTAACTGTAACCCTCTGTATAGTATCTTTACAATAAAAAAAAGAAGAAGAAAAAAAGAAGGGTTGTTAACCATTTATTTCTAGTAAATAGAACTAAAATTCAGAGAGCTTAAATCCCAGACCACAACCAACATGGGTGTTTTTCAGACCCGGCTTCAAATAGATGTGTTGGAAGAGGGTACAACTATTAGTCAAAGCTGAGTGCCAATCCGGGCAGTGGTTGCTCATACTTGTAATCCTAGCTACTCAGGAGGCTGAGATCTGAGGATAGTGGTTCAAAGCCAGCCTGGGCAGGAACCTCTGTGAAACTCTTATCTCCAATTAGCCACTAGAAAACAGTAAGTGGCATTGTGGCTCAAGTGGTAGAGTGCTAGCCTTGAGCTGAAGAGCACAAGGACAGCGCCCAGGCCCAGAGTTCAAGCCCCATGACTGATTAAAAAAAAAAAAAAAAGCTGGGTGCCAGTGCCTCATTCCTGTAATCCTAGCTGCTCAGGAGGCTGAGATCTGAGGACTGCAATTCAAAGCCAGCCTGGGCAGTTAAGTCTATGAGACTCTTACCTCTATTTAACCACCAAAAAATCCAGAAGTGGAGCTGTGGTTCAAGTGGTATAATACTAGCCTTGAACAGCAAAGCTCAGGGACAGTCCCAGGACCAGAAAAAAAAAAAATCAGTTAACCCTGAAAGCCTATTCGTCATGGATGCCAGGGGTATCTGGAAGCAGATTCCATTCCCAGTCACCTCAATAGAAGAGGTCCTAAATTAAATTAAACAGAGGAGCATTCCTGTACACAGAAGAGCAAGGGGTCTATCCCTAACACATACACCTACTTCAAAGAATTGCAAGGACTTCAAGGACACAGCTCAGTGTAATCCTTATACTTCAGTGATAGGGAAGCCCTAGGCCAGAACAACTTTCTCCATCCAGTCTCTGCTTTAAGCATTCAGTGCTGACCTAGGAAGAGGAAATACCCCTTCATTAGCCAGGGGTTAGTCCATTATGAAAATATCTGACTTCCAGGGTCCCCTGCAATTGGGTCCTGGTCATGTCAAACTCTTAGGAAAGGAGCAAAAGAGTAAGAGCTAGCAAGAGCCAGACTCAGAATTTAAACCCAAGTCTATATAACTCCAGTGCCCACGCCATTTCCACTTTCTCAGATTGGGATAGTTATCAAGTTTGGTCATACAGAATTTAATCTGTGGCAATGTATATGTGTTCCATTGTAGACACATTGAATTTGAAATATCTGTGTAACATTTATAAAGTAACCTAATAAATGAGTTGGTGTGTTGGGCCCTTGTACATGTTACTTTACATCTCCAAGTCTCCATTTTCTCATCCATAAAATGCTATTACCTTCTTAAAAAGGTTAACACACAGCCAGGTGCTGATGGCTCATGCCTGTAGTCCTAGCTACTCAGGAGGCTGAGATCTGAGGATCACAATTCAAAGCCAGTCTGGGCAGGAAAGTCTATAAGACTCTTATCTCCAATAAACCACCAGAAAACCGGAAGTGGTGCTGTGGTTCAAGTGGTAGAGTGCTAGCCTTGAGCTAAAGAGCTGAGGGATGATGCCCAGGCCCAGAGTTCAAGCCCCACAACTGACAAAAAAAAAAAAAAGGTTAACACAGGTAGATACTCTTAGCTAGTACTATGCATATATATACACACACAAATATATGTATACATATATCCTTTATGACACATTTTAGAGTTTATTTCCTCTTTTTTGGGGGGGTATCAATCGTGGGGCTTGAACTCAGAGCCTGGACACTGTCTCTGAGCTTTTCTGCTCAGGGCCAGCATTCTACACTTTGAACCACAACTCCACTTATGATTTTCTGGTGGTTAATTGAAGAGTCTTGTGGACTTTTCTTTCCATGCTGGCTTCAAGCTGAATTTATTTCCTTTTAAGGAAAGGGTAAAAGGAGATAGATACGGTAAGAATAGATTGTTGGCAAGTATGAAAGTAGAACAATGAAACCTCTTGAAATTATATTAGGAAGAGGGGAGAGAATGATGTAGGGGGGTTGATTATATTGTGACTATGCATGGAAATGTCACAATGAAAACTCCTCTTATACAGCTAATGTAATTATTATTATTATTTAATTTAAGCTGATGCCAGTGGCTCACACCTGTAATCCTAGCTACTCAAGAAGCTGAGATCTGGGGCTGGGAAGGTGGCTCAGTGGTAGAGTGCTTGCCTCACATGCATGAGGCCCTGGGTTCAATTCCTCAGCACCACATAAACAACAAAAAAGCCAGAAGTGACACTGTGGCTCAAGTGGTACAGTGCTAGCCTTGAGCTGAAGAGCTGAGGGACAGAACCAAGGCCCAGAGTTCAAGCCCCATGACTGGC